CATGTCCACTGGGGAGTGATACTTCAGCTTGGCCTTGTTGTAGTCCTTCTTGTAGTTCTTTTCGCTCTGCATCTTAGCCACCGCCATGTAGTGAACCAGCAGAGGGTCGTCCTGGATGCTGCGGAAGCCCACGTGGTGTCCTCTGGCCTTCTCGTAAGCCAGCTTGTACTTGTACTGTGACGGTGAATAAATACGTGTTTACCATGTATGATGGGTTGTAGTAGATTAACTTCTTGATTTTGGTACAGGAATTTATTTTCAACTTACATCACTGGCAATGGTGGTACCGGACTTGGCGGCCAAAATTGCGACGGCGTCTCCTTTGAGGTTGTAGCCTTTATTAGCCATCGCCACAACACCGGCTTTGTAACGTTTCTGTGAAAACAAATACATTCATGTGAATCAAATAAAAGTATAAACATTATCTATATCTATACATTTGTAATGTAATGCCTTACATTGCTCATGTTGAGGGCATTAGCTTTGGCCAGGACAATCTCCGGAGCGTCTGGCATGATGTGGACTGTCCGTTTGTCCTTCTCCCAAGCTGCACTGTATGCTTGCTGTAAATGAAGACACCAGAAAAACAAGCCAATGATGACGCCTATGAACAAGACCATGGTGATATTTACTGACCCCTACACTATACACATGCTGCACCTTGTTCATGATCTTGTTGTTGGCAGTAGCCAGAGTCAAGTCCATGGAGTCCATCAGCTTGGTGAACTTGAAGGTGGATGGATGAGTGCGGTACCGATTGTCACTCTGAATCTGACCGCCAACTTTAGCGGTCTCAACTCCAATAGAGCCGATGGGGACCCATCCGGTACCTCTGATATAGTTGTTATATTCAGACTTGTAGTCCCACTACAAAAGAAATACAAGATCTGGTCAAACAAAGGATCATACAGCAATTATCAAGAGTTAAATGGATGCAATTATCATGGGCATAGCACAGCTGGTATTTTAACACTCACGTCACTACACTGGACGTTCATTTTGCGAGCCTGTTGCAAGTTTATGGCATCAGGGAGCAGAGAGTAACTGTGCTTGATCTTCCTGTATCCAGTCATAGTCTGAGCAGCAGAGGCCTGCTTGGCGTGCATCACGCTCATCATGTCCACTGGGGAGTGATACTTCAGCTTGGCCTTGTTGTAGTCCTTCTTGTAGTTCTTT